ATAATAATAATAATAATAATAATAATGTGGTTAGGAAACAGAGCACTATGGCTTTTAATTAACTCTCGAAATAAGAATCAAAATGCACTGGACTCAAATCAGACTGTCATTACTATCTGACTATTATGGGATTTTTTTCTGGCCCAAGTCTCACTCAAACAGTTTTCCCATTCTCCACACTCTGCCCTTTACTTTCATGGTACTATGGGATTTAAAACGGTACTTCATAAAGACTCTGCTGATGGCCCACGGCCAGCAGTGGTCACAGCTCAGCCAACCATTTGGATTAATACAGTGTTCATTGTCTCATTTAGTAGCATCTTTGTGAAGGTCATATGGCCGTTTCCTGGCCACCAGTGAGAGGAAGTGGTCGGCTTGTAAAAAAAAGAAAGAAAAAAAGAAAAGATTATGTGCAGCCATCTGTTTTGTAATTAACAATGGTTGAGTTACTGTGTTATTTAAGATAATAAAACTACTGGATGGCTCTGAAATGAACACTTGTGCATATACATGAAAACGGTGGAACTAATGAATAGCTCACAGAAGGAGGAACTAGATGATATGAGCAGAAAGTCAAATGGATTGGGAAATTCTATACTTCTTAAATGACTTACTTTTTTTAAGACACATTTTAGTTTCAGATTCCAAACTTAAGCTGAAATGCTGAAAATATGGAATTAAAGAGGGATCTATTTGGACTTCCTTAGTATAAAAAGGAACATTAGAGTAAATGGTAGAAGACAACAGTTTATCTTGGAATATTTGGGAACCATTTAAACCAAATAGCAATTTAGATTAAGGAAAGAATTGGAAAATACTCAAAACACTTAATTGCCCAATCAGATACTATACAGTTCAGATAACTGATTCTGCACATGATATGATTTTTATTCTGGGGAAATAACAGAAAATGAATGCCTAAAATGGGAGAGGGAAGCTCGATTAATCCCAGGGGGCGCACATGGGCGATGGATGGTTCTGTCCAAAAGCGTATAGTTAGTTAATTACCATCAAAGCGTCACAAAAGCCCCACTAATTCAATTTCAATTCATTTTACTTATAAAGCGCCAATTCACAACACATCATCTGACGGCACTTTATAGAGACAATAAGGTCAGCGGGGTTAAAAGTTCTGTCAAGGATAACCAGCTGATTGCATTTATTTGTTGACTTGCAAATAAAGCTCCTCCTGGATGAGCTTGTAGTGACAATTAATCACTATTAATAGTACCATTAATGTGTATAAAAATACTTCCAGTGCATAATCTACTGATTACGGAGCAAACAAAAAAAAAAACAAAAAACAAATAAACAAAGAAGTCAGTCGTTAACAGATATGAGAGCTAATTTTAAAGGAGCATTCCAACAAGCTTTTGCAATCAGATATAATTTGATGATCAGAAAAGAGAAATACTTGATCATCATATTAGTGCTATGTTAATGCTAGGATGCTATAGATGCCAGCTAACCTGTTAATTTTATTTTTCATTGCACCTTTTAAAACCTAGTAAAAATAACATATGAAGTAAAAATCCTTTTTTGCCATACCCGCTACCGCTATTAATTAGTGGCTTAGAGGGCAGCTGAATATATTCACATGGGGGAATAACCCACCATCTGTAGGTGGTATTTACTGTATATGCTGGCCCTTGGTTCTATAGCCTTTGTGGAAGGAGAAGGCAGAGTTTACTCAATCCCTGCTGCTTCTCTTGTCCCAGTCTTTTCTGCAAAAGTCAGAGAAAAAAAAGATGCAGACGTGTTTCATGCCATCTGCTATGGTTGTTGGGCAAAGAAGGTAGAGCATACTTAACTCTGGGCCAAGTCCTACCAATGTTGTCCCTTGCCAGCTGGTCAGACATTCAGTGTGTGATCCTGATGGGATGAAGAGGATTTGTCTGTTTGGAAATTTGTTTTTATATAGGGGCCATGAGGATCCCCCAGGTTGTCCCAGGATCCTCCTACTTTGGGGATATACTAAAAAGGGACATCAATTACAATTTGAAAACACAAGATTTCACCTTATAACCTTGTGCAATCCAAGTAGCATATCACATCTTACGTTCATATTTATATCAGGACTGTGAGGCACAACAGCAGTTTCAAGCATTTGCTATATACATATTATAGAATGTTTGTCATGGCGTAAAAATCAGATTGATCCCTTTTTTATCTTTTAAGGAATTAACTTACTTAGTAAATGCTTTATCATTTAATATGGATGACACATGATATGTACCTTGATTATAATAACAATAATGATTTACTTGTAAGCCTGCTAACATTTTTTCCTTTTATAAATAAAAGTTGTTTTGATTTGTTTCAATCGACCCACAAGATTTGGTTGAATTTGCTGATTGCAGTTAGGGAAAAAACAAATCTAATATCGTCAATTAAATTTATATAAATTTCTAATATTTACAGTAATGACATGCCAGAACATGCGGAGGTGTCCAGGGTTGTGGATACGTTACTGAACAACCCTGGCTTTGGGACACGCTGTATGCATGGGGATCCAATACCGTAAGTATTCTGGATTATTACAACTTGATACCACAGATTAATCCAGCTTCAAATCAGTGTCTCAGAGATGTAAAACAGTTTGCACATATTCTGATTGTCAAAAACAGAATAATATGTAAAGTTTACAACAACTTGAGGTTATTTGTTTTATTTTGTGAGTTGTGTTACATTATCATGAGAGTAAACTTGACTCAGTTGTTAGCACTGTGGTTTAAACCATAACCTTTAGTTTAGTAGCCCTGAACTCGTACTTTAGTTTTTGTGGATGGTTTTTAATAATACAATGTTATGCTCTCTTGAAAAGGTTTGTGTGAGCCGCATATTTTCACCACAGGTCACAAAGTGTAATGCAACGTTTTTTTTATTTTTTATATATATATAAACGGTTATTTTTTGTGCTGCACATTTGTCACAAGGTTGTTCATTTATACGTACATTTTCTATGTGTGGCACCGGCAAACGAAGATGGGGAAAAATAAAGGATCACTAAATTCAGCATTTAGAAAGTATACTAATATTTAATATTTACTCTTCTCTATCTCATTTGCAGGGGCCCATGGCCATAAAAAAATTCAATTCAGTTTATTTATATAACGCCAATTGACAACATTTTAAATTCTATTCTGGATTTAACAGGAAGCCAATGAAGAGAAGCCAGGATAGGAGAGATGTGATCTCTCTTTTTAATTTTCATCAGAACTCTGGCTGCAGCATTTTGGATCAACTGAGGGCTTTTAACTGCACTTTGTGGACTTCCTGATAGTAAAAAATTACAATATTCCAGCCTTGAAGTAACAAATGCATGGACTAGTTTCTCAACATCACCCCTGGACAGAATATTTCTTATTTTTGCAATATTCTGCATATGAATGAAGGACATTCTAGAAACCTCTTTGATATGGGATTCTAATGACAGGTCCTGATCAAAAGTAAAACAAAGATTGTTTAACTTTATTATCTGAGATCAATTTAATCCCATTCAAATGAAGTTACTGACTAACCAGCTTCTTTTTCAAAGAGTCTGGTCCAAAGACTCTAACTTCTGTTTTTTCTGCATTCAGAAGCAGAAAGTTTACTCACCCAGGTTTTTATGACTTCAAGACATGCCTGTACTCTATGTGATGGGTTAGCTTCATCTGGATTTATAAACAGATATAAAAAAATGAAAGTAAGCCTTTCTTAATATTGTTTTGCAGGGGTTTACCATGCTCATCTGCTTATTCTGATTGGTTCACTCCATCTGTGGATCAGTCAGTGACAGACATCTTCGATAACGGGAACTGGAGCATGTCTAACCCCTCACCTTCCTGCGAGTGCAGTACTCCTGAACGCTCCATTATGTTACCCGACTGTCCACCTGGAGCGGGAGGTCTCCCTCCACCTCAAGTAAGTGTGTCTTTCTGTACATTTGAACTATTTCAAACAATAAAATTTTCTGTTACCCTCTGAGGTCCCTTTTTCACAATACAGCCACTCTCTGCCCTATAGTGAATATATGTTAAAGCATTGAGGGAATGCAAAGGTCTAAATAAAAAAGAAACGAAATACATCAGTGGCAGTGCAGTACAAAGAAAATGCTTATCATGGAGGGATTTCTGCATGCACTCTAAAAGTCCCTGTCAGCAGCATTTTGAATTGAAGATGTTAAGGGTCCCACAAACAAGATATTTGCATTGCATTGCAAAATGGAAATCCTATAAAGGAAAATGGAAACTATGCTCCAGCAAAAATGAGCGACCAACTAGAAATATCGTCAGATTCCCTGTCAGTAACAGAGATAGTTTCTATATTTAGAAGATAGAAACTTTAAGGATTACCTGAACAATCTTTTACTTCATTTTGTAGAACATATCATTTGTATTTCAGTGTTTTTCTTTAGTATTGTATGTGATATGAGGACAACAATGCATAGCTAATAAAGGATGGAACCAGAGACGCGAAAAAATAAAACTCTGGAATGTAGGGGAATTGCTTTCATGAAGCAGCCAAGAGGTCCAGTATAACCCTAGAAGAGATGTATACATTTATAGCTCAAGTAGAGAAAAACCTGTTGGCTGGACAGGTATTTCTTGCTTGCACTACAAATCTAGTGTTTAAAGAAGAGCGGCAAAAACCCAGTCGTTGCGTAGAGGCTCAGGTAGTCTATTAGAAACCCACTATTAAAAGAAAGGAAAAAAAATGTCCAGCTGAAAGTTTGCCTAAAAGATTTCAGGATGAAATAAATCTAAATCGGAATTGGTCTTACATTTAACAAACAACCTGATTTGATGGTATTAAAATGGCAGCAATGTTTGCATGAGCAGATCTGATCTTCGAAGCCGGTGAAATTCACATCTCATGTGTAAAGGGGAATGGAGCACAAAAACTTTTTATCCGAGTGCATCTTCATGAATCTGCAAATCTTATTCATGTGAGAAAACCATTCAATATTCTGGGTGAGGAACATTGATATGTAAATACCTGCTACCCACAAAGCCATTTATTTATTAAACCTGAAACAGATTTTTCTGTCTATATTGAGTATGTTTAAAAATCAGGTGTAAATTTTTACCCCCAAAAAAAGGCGGCATTCATTGTGGTCTTTAAGGAAATATTTTTGGTACAGTGACAGTTCTTGGAAAGAAAGCCTGCTTTCTTCAACAGGGACATGAAAAAAAGTAGTTAGAGTCAATAAAAGGATAGAACGATTTAATATGGGGGAATCGCACAAAAAACTGTGGTTCCATGAATTATTTAATTGTTGGTTTTAAAAACAAACGTACATTGAACTTTAATGATTCTGTCTTAAAATACAAAACAGAAATACATGTAATATATTCCTCCCAACCCAGAAGTATGTACTACACTGTCTTTGTCAAACACATAAGATCCCAATACGTTTCACTTCAATCTCTCGCATAAAAATGCTTAAGCAGTAAATATTTTGCTAACACACTTCTAACTTTAAGTACTGTAGGATACGTCAATATGTTTCTACTGAATGCAGAGTCATCCTAGCCTTTGGATTTTTCCTGCTTATGTCACACACCCATGAAGCTTAGCAGGTTTCATCCCCCAGCAAGTCAATACCAATTCTTCATAGACCATTACTTCAACAACAGACATGGACAAATGTAGCCAGGGCAAATGTTGCACAGTCTGACCTGAAATGATGTGATCCAAGCTGGGGATCAATGGGCAACTCTGGGAAACCACAACACAGCCAAGCAGATACCGAACACCGACTGAACTCATCATGATGCAGGGAACAAGTGGGATTTCATTTGGAGATAAAAGATTTGTACTGCTGTTGCCCGATGATAATGAAAAATCTAAGGTTTAGAGAAAGATGGGATGGATTTTCTTACACAGGGTCAGTTTGGTCTGTTTATATGCTGGTTTTTTGGAATATACCAGCATTTTTAGGAGAATTGAATTTAAACGTTTTATTGGTAACCTACTCATGTCTCATGTCCTAAAGTTGGTCTCACATATTTATAAAATGTCACAACCTAATTCTGGATTTAAGCTTTGATCTTTATTTTTCAATAGGATCATAGTGCAGGATAGATAGTTAAGTATGGCATAATGTTTTTCACAATGGTTTCTATAGCCTGACAGGCAGTCTTTTGACAATAAAAAGCCATCTTTCAAGTTTTTCAGGAACTTTTCACCAGCTTAAGAAAAATGCCTTAGGAAACACTCTTTAGCTCACAAAGTCAGAATTGTGGGCTGCTGGGCAGCCTCGGTATAACTGGATTTTAGAAGTGGGAAGGTGTGGCGACAAATCCTGTTTTACCAGGTACGTACGTAGGTGTGGAAAGGAATGTTGGAAAAAAAAAACTAGGGAGTTTCCATACAAGGATAAAACAGTGCTGCTTGCAAAGTGTTTTTTATTTTATTTACTTAACTTTTTTCTTTTTGGTCGAATAGAAACAAGTTTAAATGTGTTTTGATCAGGCATGAAGAACCCAGCATTTAACAATCTATACAAAATATTCAAGAAAGAATAACACATCTAAAGTAATCATGCTGTCCCTCACTGTATTCTGAAGTTTTAAAGCAACAATAAGACACAATAATTTTCTGCAGCTGCAGAATTATTCAGAATCCTTCTTTAAGGGTTATAGAGTGTAAAAGGGCTTATGCATTCTAATGATCTGAAAAAAAGGTATATTGTTTCTGTTTGCTCGATCAGAGATAAGAAGCCCTTATTTGTATATTGATGAAAAACAATTTAATTACATAGCACCCAATTAGACTTAACTGCTGAACGATATTATTAAGCTTTAATATTATACTTTATGTATGGTTTGCAGGATTTTAATGCTTTATTTTGCTGCATCATGATGAATTAAAATATATACAGCCTTTAAAACATCTTATCTTGACTTAATAAATGTAGATAACTTTATTCCTCTTCACTAGATGTTTATATGCTTGGAGTTGATTATGTGGAAAAAAAAACAACTTTAATATTACCTCAAGAACATGCATATGCAAAGAGATTGCAGATCATATAGTTATGGGGAAGAGTTACACTTTTACTAGTCTCAAAGTTTTTTTTACAATTGTATTGTATCCAGTAATAGCCAGAACCTTAAAATCTTACCGAAAATTATAATTATCACAGTTACTAGATTAACTAAGTGATACAAGTTTTATGGATAATTTTAAATATTCTTATTTTTTCAGGCCTTTATTTCTGTTGACTGTTGGGATTTTCTGCCTCAAGTAATAGAAACAAATATTATACCAATATATGCAATATAAATGATCAGACCAATTAATCAATACTAATGCAGAAAGATGAGCTTGACAACAGAGAAATCAGAGAACAAGCCATTTTAATCTGAAACACTTCTTCAGAAAACATAATTTTATAGAGAATCTTTAAAAAAAAAAAAAAAATCCTGTATCCAGATTATGATCTGGATAATCATCAAACTTTAATGGATTGTTCCTTCAAAAAAATACATCCATGAATTTTGAAGTAATCCTGAACACAGACAGACAATCTCTCCTAAAAACATAACCTCTTAGGCAGAGGTAATGCGTAAAATATCCAATACTTTGTTTTGTACAAAGTTGAATGTGCTGAAATTGGAAAGTATTAACCAATGAAAGCCTGGATTTGGAGTCACACATAAACTGAAATGTAAAAACTAAATACCAGTGCCAACTTTGATGTTCTTAGTAAAAGTTGAAATGGGGCTCAGTGTTGTGGGTGACCTCCATGTGCCTGTATGACCTTCCTGCAACGCCTAGGCATGCCCCTGATGAGGTGCGCATTGATGTGCTATCCTGGATGAGCTGCAATACCTGAGCCACTTGTGCGGGTTACAGAGTCCGTCTTCATGCTACCACGAGTGTGAAAGCACCACTAACATTCAAAAGTGACCAACATCAGCCAGAAAACAGTTACTGAGAATTGGTCTGTGGTCCCAACCTGCATAACTGCTGTTGTCTATTCCATCTCTACAACAACCTGTGAAATTGTCAATCAGGGTCGCTTCCTAAGTGGACAGTTTGATTTCACAGAAGTTTGATTCAATTTAAGTTATATTGTGTTTTTTATGTGTTCCCTTCATTATTTTTTGAGCAGTGTACAGTGTAACAACAAGGAAAACTAAGACTTGCACAATCACTGCTTGGCTGCTGTTATAAAGTAACTGGCACCTGGCTATGCACATCAGAGTTAACAGTGGTGGTTATAATATAGAGATTGTGAACATCTGAAGTCTGATGTTTTATTTTTATTCTGATCTTCTTTCACTCCATTTTTTAAAATTATGGAGACCTTCAGGCAGACTGGATTAACCTTTTTAGCCTCTTTTGGTAGTCTGCAGGTTTGTTAACCCCCAAATACCATATCCTCAGTTTTCGCTCCGCGATGCCCATGTATGCTCAAGTACAACTGAAGGAGCAACTCCGTAGTATTATTTAATGAGAATGGTTCCACCTTTTTTTTTTTTTTTGACTCCTCTAAATCTCACTGTCCAAGGACTTCACCGACTTCATCCTTCACTGTCAACATATGAAGGAACTCTATTTTTCCGTTCCGCTCGGGTCTGCTTGGCTCCAGCCAGACTTTACACGTCTGCTTTCTTCTAACTTCAAAGAACATAGAGGAGAGCTTAACGGTGTACCAAGGATGTAGTATGCGTTACTTTTCAAGGATGCGTGGAGGCGATCTGTAACTGACCTGACACAATAGGAGAGGAGGATGAAGAATCTGGGCATATTTTTACAGCAAATATTTTTAACATTCCTCATGAATTCCTCCTTTCACTCGATAATTAAACACGAATCATTGCTTTGCACTCTCACATTCAATCTGGAGACACTGATATCACTACACACTAAAAGAAAAGGCAGCTCCAACTTAAATTAATTGCTTTTATAAT